GGGTCATGAAATTTTCAGGGTAGGTGTAAAATTGATCAATGCGAGGGTACTGAAAGCTTCGTCGCGATCGGCATTTTTTACGCGAGTTATTCGCGAAAAGAAACCTTAAGGGTTGATGCTGGACAAGCTGAAGTCTCTGAAATCTGAGAGGCCTTTGGTCAAGGTATTTATATATGTGTGTCTCGGTCTCCTACCATATATTTATTCTTTAATATGTGACTGTAATTGGGCTGCCCCTGCCAGTTAATGATATGCAAAATAAGAAGTATGCGCATCTGGCTGACCTTATCCTCACTTCTGTATGGAAATATGAAATTGCCAAAATAAATTACTGTATTAAAAATCGAGATATTTCGAGCACAGCTCTTCGTCGGTCGATTGTAATTATTTACACACATAACAGGCACACAATGTCGAATTCGTCTCAAGTTCTTCAGTAATGTCGCAGTAAGAAATTTAAATACACAGATCCCGTGCAAATTGATCACCCTAGTTCCTACCTTAAAAATATATCTAAACATAATTCCCCAGTTAAACTAGCAGTACATATATAGGTATCTTTCAAGAACCAATTCACACACATTTATATACATTATTTTGGAAGAAGCTGCCATGATGTAGTGTTATCGTTAATTTTGGGCCTGGCGTCTCGGATGAAGATGGATTCAGCGATTCTTCTATCCGCTTCATCTTTGCATACACGCAGGATTTTGGCCGTCACCGAGATGTCGCGTCGATCCATCTCAGGGTGCTTATGCAGCGCATGCTCTCCTAGGGGAGTGTCCTCTTCTCTGTTAATGCCGTTCCTCCGATGCTCGTTGTAGCGGAGTCTAACTGGCCTGCTCGTTTCTCCGATGTAGGTGTCGCCGCAGTGACTGCAGGTAAGTTCATATACCACGTTTTTGGTGGTATATGAAACGACGAGATCAGCGACAACATGGTATATGAAACGACGGGAACGGCCAGATCAGCGACAACAGAACAAGAAGAAGCAAGGCACATATATCCGACTGCCCTTCGTTAATGACAAGGTGGCTGCTCAGGTGAAGAAGGTTGCAATCAACTCTGGATTACCAGTGGAGATAGCATGGACCACCAACAACACCCTGAAGAAACGACTGGTCAAGACACGACTGAACCCAGCCCCCTGCCCCTCGGGACGAAGGTGCTGTCATTCATGCCAGGCGGGGCTACAGTCCAAGTGCACGACCAAAAACGTGGTATATGAACTTACCTGCAGTCACTGCGGCGACACCTACATCGGAGAAACGAGCAGGCCAGTTAGACTCCGCTACAACGAGCATCGGAGGAACGGCATTAACAGAGAAGAGGACACTCCCCTAGGAGAGCATGCGCTGCATAAGCACCCTGAGATGGATCGACGCGACATCTCGGTGACGGCCAAAATCCTGCGTGTATGCAAAGATGAAGCGGATAGAAGAATCGCTGAATCCATCTTCATCCGAGACGCCAGGCCCAAAATTAACGATAACACTACATCATGGCAGCTTCTTCCAAAATAATGTATATAAATGTGTGTGAATTGGTTCTTGAAAGATACCTATATATGTACTGCTAGTTTAACTGGGGAATTATGTTTAGATATATTTTTAAGGTAGGAACTAGGGTGATCAATTTGCACGGGATCTGTGTATTTAAATTTCTTACTGCGACATTACTGAAGAACTTGAGACGAATTCGACATTGTGTGCCTGTTATGTGTGTAAATAATTACAATCGACCGACGAAGAGCTGTGCTCGAAATATCTCGATTTTTAATACAGTAATTTATTTTGGCAATTTCATATTTCCATACAGAAGTGAGGATAAGGTCAGCCAGATGCGCATACTTCTCATGATGATATTCCTCAGAACGCTTAACCACTTACGATATGCAAAATAAACTAAACTTAACTTGTACTTTAGAAAAATGACAATTTTTCATCGATTTCGTGTGCTTTGGAGTGTGGGGGAGACCTCCCCCTGAATGTCACCCTGGGCCCTGTTTCACACGTGTCAAATTGGGTTTTCATGGTAACATCAACAAACCATGACGCCATCAATCTGTGTGATGTCATCAAATATTGCTGCTAACATCTTCACGGCCGTGCGATCAGACAAATGTATCAAACGCAATTCAACAAGATAGCAACTCTGTTCCAAACGCAGCTCACGGATTACACGAAACGTCATTAGTGTGACCTCATCACATTACGTCAGCTCGCGCAATTTGATAGCGGTGTTTCCCGGTGATCGGCCCCCATGTGCTCCGAGTGATAAATCGGTCTTTTGTCACTGGTAAAGTTCCGAAAGTGTGGAAACATGCAAAAGTGATTCCTATTCATAAGGCGGGTGAAACGTCGCAACCATGTAACTTTAGGCCTATCAGCATTCTGAGTGTGGTGTCAAAGCTCGCGGAAAAACTAGTTAGCACTCAGCTTATCACGTATCTGACCGACAACCATATCCTGTCACCGTCGCAGTACGCGTACAGGCCCAATCACTCGACAGAGGGCGCGACTATCGATCTCGTCAGTAGGATCGCGGCGAATAGCGATGATGGACTCGTGACGTGTCTGTCATCTTGTGACCTATCCAAGGCCTTCGACTGTGTTGATCGTGACGCACTGTTCATCAAGCTCCAGTGGTACGGAATATCTACACACTGGTTCTCGGACTTCTTCAGCGACCGGACGCAGGCCATAGAGGGCGGCGGCAGCCTCCCGGTGCCGTATGGAGTGGTCCAGGGCAGTACGATCGGCCCCATCATGTTCAGTGTGTTCACAAATGACCTGTCGTGTCACTTGTCACATCACGCGTCACTCATAACCTACGCTGACGACTCCCAGATACTGCACTGCGCCGCGCCAACCCCGGCAGGACTCACTGAGCTGCGTCTCAGGGCGGAGACCGATCTAGCCACTGTCTCTGCCTGGTTCACTTTAAACGGGCTTAAAGTTAATCCCACAAAGACCGAGCTCATCGTCTTTGGAACAGCAGCAGCCATCAAAAAGACTGATGGATTCATGATCAACTTTGACGGCATACAGATAGCACCAGCCCAGTGTGTCAAAATCTTAGGTGTGGTTCTGGACCGAGAGCTTACCATGCGTCAACAGACGAGCAGAGTGGTGCAGCGCTGCTACAGCAATCTCATCACCATCAGTAAGATCCGAGACACGCTGCCAAGAACTACCCTAGTACACCTCATTCGTGCCCTGGTCTTTCCGCATGTGACGTATTGTCTGCCGGCCTGGGCGCCACCTGCAAAGCAGGATCGCCTTCGCATGGAAAAGGTGGTGAACTATGCAACTCGCATTGTCACACGGAAACGTAAGTTTGATCGTATTTCTAAGACAAGACAGGAGCTCGGCTGGCTTACCTTCGAGAACATGATCGCCTATAGAGACTGTGTCCTCGTGCACTCACTGCTGTATCAGGAGAATGCACCGTTTCACCTAAAAGCACTAGCCACGTATCGCGCGGACATATCAGAGCGTAGTACGAGAGCGACCGCTGCTGGTCTCCTTCATGTACCGCGGGCCCGTCTGGAGCGAACTCGCTTGGCCGCACCCATCCGGTCGCTGAACACGTGGAACGCTCTCGACGAAAAAACGCGTGTCTGCAGAAGTGACTTAACCTTCAAGAAAAATGTGAAAAAGTCGATGCTTACCAAACTCTAGAGCACGCACACACCTACCATCATTTTAAACAAGAGTGTTTTATATTACATTGCGTCACCATCTTTTAGCCTTGTCATTGAGCTAGTCGTTACATGTCTTTTTTTAGCTTTTTTTAGGCATCACTCACGCCACTGCGTCCATGTATATTTTATTCTGTATATCATGGCAGCCGGTATGTGTATTTGTATGACGCTGTGGTGTAACAAGCCAATTGTATATTGGAAACCACAAAGATATGCGAAATAAATAAATAAATAAATAATAAGGATAGTAGCGTGCTGCTATCACCGGTGAAACAGGGCCCTGAATCCGCCAGTGAGGTTTTGTGTTTTGGGTCGGACCCCCCCCCCCCCCATCCCAATACCGTGGCAGAGCCCCTGCCACCCGAACATGATCACCCGAGTACATTGTGTGGCATGGGTGTTTGCTGTGTCCCTCGGGCAGCAGGCCTATAAATAACCTGATCAGTCTTTTCGAGCCCTGGCAAAACCCACTGAAAAAATAGACGTCAGTCGCCTCACTGGGATCAGGTCCACTGCAGACTCAACTTTTATGGTGAGAAGCCTGAAGATCAACTAGGCATTCCGCACCTTAGTCCCAATTGTCCGAGGGCTGTCGGTGATAGACAGGTTGGCATTGGTAGACCAGACGTCACACGAAGGTTTTCCAACCGAGGAGAGGCGCTGTAGGTTTGCAGATTGTAGGATAGGTTTTTAGGTTGGAGGTTTTTAGGTTTTAGGTTGTAGGTGAGGTAAGGATAGGTCAGGTAAGGTTTCAAGGTTTGTTTAGGTTTTGTTAGAAGAAGCTCCTCCTGGTAAAGTGCCTCTCCTTGGTTGGAAAACCTCTGTGTGACGTCTGCTCTACTAATACCGACAGGTGTGCCTACTCATAGGCTCGGGTCTATACCTGTCTGATTTCCTTGCGGGTAAGTGGATACTTGATTCAAAAATAAGTCCGGCGAGGATTAATGTTTGGCTAGGGTATAGGCTGATACTACTGATTGGCATTTGAAAGGGCGCAGTCAAGTTGGGACCTCCCCCACCCCTTACCGCCATGGTATGTGCATATATTTCTTAAGCAATTTTTTTTTTGGCAATCTTACAAAATAAAGTGACTGAAATCCGGGGAGAGAATAGGATTTGGGGTAGGTAAGGTTCTGCGGGCCCCATCCTAATCAAAACCTATTGGCATTGCCCCCCCCCCTTCCAGATGCCCCTGGAATCTGGATCCGGTTTTGCCCCGAACTTTAATCCCCCTCTCAACTTTTCCTATAAAAGTAACCCTGGTTGTAACTAAAGGCTTGTGTCTCCGTTGCAGCTGGTGACCTGGGACCCAAGAGTATCCCTGAAGTGAATGAATTGTCAGTGGTCAAGATGTGCTGTCAGTGGTTGCGCAAGCTCGCTACTAAAGAAGGCTGGCTTCAACCGCGTGCCCCAGATATTGGAATATTTTTCTGGGTTATGTACGTTATAGGCATTGGCTCATACATCGGCACGTTTGCAATGAACATCAACTCACTCGTCAACTATGCTTCAAGTGATGAGTGGTGGTATTTCTCCATTCTGCTCACGGCGGTGGTGCTCCCCCAAGTGCCCATCAACCTGTTCTCGTTCTGGTGGTATCGCAACGACAGCGGCGAATGCTACGTCTCCTGGCCCAACACCGTAGGACACTGCCTTCTGTTAGCAGTGCCCATTCGCATGGGCGAAATAGGAAAAATAGCGTGCCGCACCCGCAGCAAAGAAAAGGGCGCCTCCTACTACCATCGCTTTTTCCTGGCTCAGGCGGACCTGTCGTTTTTACGGCTGGTGGCAGTGTATGCCGGCTCAGCCTCGCAGCTCGTCGTCAAGATCTACAAGCTGCTGAGTAACTGGACCGGCGTGGAGAGCGCGCTCTTGGAGATGGTGTTCGGTGCGCTGGTGTTGGTGTCGCTGGCGCTGAGCACCTTCTCGATGGGCCAGCACTGCCGCAGTCACCGGCACGACAAGCAGGAGCTCTCCTATGCCAGCACCGTTCTGCAGGTCCTCTACAGGATCTGCTTCCTGGCGTCCAGAGTCTTCGCGCTGGCCTGTCTCTTCCATCTCGGCATAACGTACGGCATCTGCGTCTGCGTCGGCGCTTTCATAGTGTGTATCATCTGGTTCCACTTCATGGAGACGGAATTCACGGAGAACTGGAAACAGGAACGCTTCTACCACGCTTTGATGGCGTACCTGCACATCTTTGGGATGTTCAACGTCAAGGATGACCCCGCGAGATATCGGTACGCCTTCTACTATTCCGTAAGCTTTTTCGTGGAGGCCCTCGTGTATGCGGTGTACGCACTGGGCACGGGGCGCACGTTCGTGTGTCTGTTCCCGGGACTGTTCCTGGTCGGCCTCCTGTGCCACGGCCTCGAGCACGAGTGCTTCCACCCGGGCGGTCGGCTCTACATGAAACGGGCGCCTGCGGAGTGGGAGAACGTCTGTGAGGAGTGCGCCGCAGAAGCAAGCGATTCGGCGGCAAAAGAGAGAGCGGTTGCCGCCGAGGCGTTGTAGCGTTTGTGCTTTTCAACTGAGGTCTGAATGGACTTCAGTCGCACTGTTCTGCCGAAAGTCCTCGTTTTCCGAGCGCGTGGTTTTACTATACGATACCTACGAATTACGATATTGTTACTAGTTTGCTGTTTTTGCGACATGTTGGGAAGCGCATTTCATTCACTGGCCATTTTATCCGTATATCAATGTGATATCAGGTGCTATCAATATCTCTGATGGAAGGCCTGGGGTTCGCGTTTGTCTTACTCAAAACCCGAGCTTATGTGTCGTGCCACCCACCCTGCTTAGTGACATCCATTTGTAAGGAATGGACTGAGGGAACTGTGCTTTCGTGATCGGTGCTCTTCCAGCGACAGGCGATCGCTTAGGTTGATCGCTGCATACCTTTTCATGAAGCTGAAGTGTTTCATGAAAACCTGCCTCAGGCCCTGCTTGTTGTGTGTCTTTTCTTGCCTTGCATCTATGCCTTAGACGCCACATTTGTGCTGCTGCTATTGTAGCTAACGTGCCAGTGATTCAAAGCTTCAAGGGCCAAAAAAATTGTTGTTCATGAAGTGGCACGTATCTTTGATCTCTACTTGTAATTAAAGCTCTTCGAATGTCGCTTTGGAATCGTGTGCTTTGTAAATGACCTTCATCTTAAGAGTCAAATATTTTTATATGGCATGTAGCATTGCATACACCATGCCTACACATGACGTAAATGATCGAACTGGCTGTTACCGACGACTTTTGGAACATAAGTGTTCGCTGAATCATACCAAATATATATATTGATATCTTATTTCCATAAATGTATTTCATGAGGTACGTAAAGTATGCGCCAAACCTAGCCGGAAGAAGTCTGCCTCTCTATAGGGTCCAAATGGTTTAGAAATGCCGTTGAAAGGATTAAGCAGCAATTATTTTTATGGCAATTTTCCGGCATTTAAAGGGCAATTATTTGCGAGATGTTTTTTTACGCATTCTAGAGACTAGATAATTGTGCCCGTGATATTTGTCACGATACGTATACGTGGCCAAGAATCGTTTAGTTGACTTTGATACGAATTTGCCCACACCGGTATCATGTTGCATGTGACAAAATATCGTAACTATGAAAATACGGCACTTGGTAAGATAGTCTCCCTGTTGAATGGGTGGGGATCGCCGGCTGGGGTTTGGCGTTGGCATCTCACGCGTTGACGGAGCGATCTCAGTCCGCTGGCACACCAGAGACCGTTGGTGTCCGACGCTCTGAGAGGACAAGTTCCTTCCCGTGACACTCGATCCTCATAGCTGTTTGTCGGTCTGGTCAGTGGCCGTTTCAGCCTGACCCGCACACTGACTGTGGCGCCACATCCTGACCCACCCGCTATCCCCAACCGCTGTTCCAGTGCTACAGCCTGACCCGCCCACTGTCTCCCGCCAGAACCTTGCACGTAACATGATCCACGTCAGTCTTATTTATGCATGTAATAGTGAGGTTGGTCACATAATCATTAATCATGCTGGTGAAAATAGCCCAGAGATTCATTCTACAACGGCTTACAGACAACCTTCTCTCAAATCCACGCGACGCCTCGACTTTTTTACGTCTTTTATAGGCTGAACGATTATTAGACAAGCCAGGCCGTTCTTCGGGAGGTCATTCGAAGCTCTGATGAAATTGTTCTATGGACGTGTCTGTGAAGCTCACCTACAGCTCTCTGTCGGTCGAGGCGGTCAGTGACGGTCATTTATGTTCCAAATGAAACAGAACACTGGTGGACAGGGGACGGCGTCTCGCGCCTGAGATCGGTGGACGGCCGGCGGTGGTCGGCGGGGCGGCTAGAGCAGGCCGCAGACTGCACTGCCGCCCTTGGCCGGCTGCGGCCGGCAGCAGCCGGACGGCGTGGTCACCACCACCGCCTCCACGCTCTTGGAGTAGTGGCAGCCGGGCTTGGCGGCCGCCGGCGCCGAGTCCAGGTTGGGCGCGTGCGCGGCCGGCTGCACGAGCAGCGGCGCGCCGTGCGTCACGCTGGTGGCCGGCGCCTGGCTCAGGTCGTTCATGGAGCAGTGCAGCAGGGCGGCGAGCGGCGGCGGCGAGCGCGCCACCTCGGCGCAGCTGGCCGACGAGATGGAATGGGCGCGCGAGGTGCGCCCCAGCGGCCCGGCCGGCGGCGCCCGGCTCCGCTGACGCTTGATGTCGATCAGCCGTGACTCGTCGAATGTCAGCAGGTTGGAGACTGCAATAAAGCCGGCAGGGTCAGTCACCGAGGTGGCGCAGTGAGCTCATCACCGTCACTGGCGCACTGCGCAGGTGGCGCTAGTCGCTGCAAACAGGTCCGGGTCTAATGCTGCATTGGAAACAGTACCAGGAGAGAGAAAGAGAGGAGAGAGAGAGAGAGAGAGAGAGAGAGGGAGGGAGAGGGAGAGAGAGAGAGAGAGAGAGAGAGAGAGAGAGAGAGAGAGAGAGAGAGAGAGAGAGAGAGAGAGAGAGAGAGAGAGACCGTTTTTCGGGCAGTCGGCTTTCGCAACTCCGATCTCCACTGTTTGCACAGAATCGGTAGATTCAGCAGGACCCCACGGGTTTCCAGATGTGTTTGCCAGTTTGGTGCGTCTCCTCACTGAACGCTTCATCCGTCTCGAATTCCCCCGGGAGTTTGGAGGTTAGATCCCAATTCCCATCGTCCGAGATAGGCACCGCCCGAGATTAGACCCCGTCACCTCTTTGGGTTCTACCCCTACTCCCTGTCTATCCTGTTCAGAACATTTGGCCGCTTAATTAATCCATTTGTGTACCATCCCTGCGTTACGCTCGCCACTCATTCTCATTCCTACCCCTCTATATCTCCGTAACGCTTCTATCCCGTATCTATCCTTATCAGTTCCCTCCTGATGATTCCATCGCCATGCTTCTCCTTTCATTGTCCCCCTCTCAGGCCTTCTTTGTTGTTTCGGTCCCCCTTGCCCTCTCGGACCTATGACTACTGTCACATTTGTTCCATTCCCGACCTGTCCCGACCTTTTCCTTCTCCATCTAGTCGGGGTTCTGTGCCTGGCGCTGTCGCGGCGCTCGGGGTACGCACGTTTTAGTCCGGAGCTGCTCAGGGTGCCGCTGGCCGGCCGGCGATGCTGTGAGTCCTGGCTGACCGGCGTGTAGCTGTTCCTGCCCAGCGAGAGGCGCGGACTGCGCGCGTGCGGCGGACTGCTCTCCTCCGAGTCCGAGTCAGGAATTTTGGCAGAGACCGGGCGCCGGCCGTCCCGCGAGCGCAGCCAGTAGGTCTTCATGGCGCCTGCGGCGGAGTGGGGAGGGAGAGTGGTCAGTGCCAGCCGCTGCCGACCCGACCTGACCGCCGTCAGGGCCCATTTCACCATCGACCAGCGGATGCGGCTCCAGCCGCCGCCGGCCGGCCCGGGTCGAAGCGTTTCCATCAATCTCCCGATGACAAGAGAAGCTGCTCGAATGATTGAACGTGAAATGACCAGTACGTTTTATGGCAAGCTGGCGAGTTTATTGAGTTTATTTCTGTCAAATGTGGAGCAGAATCAACGACGACCTTACGTAAGCAATAAGTTTGAAAAGTAATGATAACAGACAGCGTATCTCGCATCCAATGCCTTAGACAGAGTTGTAACTCGATAAGGCACAGGGGATGTCCGGTCATAAATTCAAAATTAAGGAGAAAGAGCATCGTAACATAAGCCCACTGATGCAGCTTTTTTTAAATGCATTTATTATAGGTATCGCTAAAGGTTCGTACCGGTATCCAGGACTCGGTCGGGCTGCCGCGGATGCCGTATATGAGTCTATGACAGACATTTTCGGTACGTCAGCGGCCGACTGACCTTTTCCCTTGACGTGGATGCCGCCCCGCTCGACGGTCCGGTAGCTGGGGCCGAGACGCTGCTTAGTCGGCTCCGAGATGTGAATCTGCATGGCCTGACTGTTCGACTCCATACGGGACGCTGCGGGTGGACAGAGAGACGTTACCGAGACGAGAGAACGAAGAGTTAGAGGAGTGCGGGAGCTGGAAACGGTTTAAAAATGCCCAACATGGTGGAACTGAGAAATTGGTAGGTCTGATTGAGTAGGTACACTCGGCTACAGGTTGGTCGATAGGGACTATATGATAGGCATATGATAGGCGCGGGAGCCAGGGGGCTCACTGGGGGCTCACGGGGCTCACGAGCCCCTCCGACTTTTCGGCTTGGGACTCGTTAGTCATTATATGTTTTTGAGCCCCCTCCCCCAGCTCGAGATATCTAAATCTAGCAGCACCCAGATCTACGAACTATTCTCGGAATGAAATAAAACCGGGGATGGACGCCTGCCAACGACCCGAGCCGGTGCCATGCGGCGTGGTTAGGTTGTGCCGCTTAACAAAAAGTCAAGTGACACAGTCTTCCGGTACCAGGTGGCTGCTACTGGCCGTGCTTAGCCAAAAATAATCGATGAATAAATAGTCCGTATCGATCAACCTGTAGCCGAGTGCACTACCCCGCCGCCCTGCGCTGGCTGGTTTGGCTTCCCTGTCATGCGGAACAGCCTAGATGCAGGCGCTCGCCACCCCTGCCATCTAGTGGCGAAAGCGCGAATCAGCAGTGGCGCTCGGATGGGTAGGTAGCGCAAGGCTGTTAGCGCAATTCGCAAACATGAAATTACAACAAAGGGTCTTGCCTAGAACTATTGCATGTTGTCTGGGACATTCAGGATATAGTTTTGCGTAATCTGATACCAACGTCACACATGTGGCGGTGCGTTCAGGATATGGTTTTGCGTAATCTGATGCTAGCGCCACACGTGTGGCGTAAGAGTAGGTATGTGTTAAACAAACAGTCAGCCAGCGCTCCCGCTGCAGCTGCTCCATTCTTATTTCCGAAACGAGAGGATCTTCTCCCGGTTTAGCCGGGTGATGTTAACTTCTTATGAGTACACGTTCCATTATCTAAGCGCGAGCGGGTAGCTGGCCGTTTGTCCGCCTGCGGATAGCACTTGCCTGTGTTGACGGTGTCTCCGAATAGGCAGTAGCGGGGCATTTTCAGCCCCACGACGCCGGCCACCACGGTACCAGAGTGAACGCCGACGCGGATCTCAATATGGTCTCCTGGAAACAGCGCGACCAAAGTCACTAGTCAGATGGGACAAGCGCAGATGTGGTGATTCTACTATTGGGCGACGGTGAAAACGCTTCTACAGTATGGGCAGGGGACAGTATACAAAGTAAACGATTTGCATCTCTTCCTCTGTATGGCACTTCAAAACTGTATCAAATAGTGCTAAAAATACAATGCAGACACTCTTTTGAATTGCCTTGTCATGACCTGGTTCTCATCAAAGCACGTCTACAGTTTGCTCACATGTCGTCTTCTGTTATTATTTTTCATTTAAACACATCCTGTTTGCGTCATTCACGGCGACATTATAGAGCAGCCTGCGGCTCAGAGACGCGGACAGTGCCGGCTTTACGGAATCTCGCCGCGGTGCTAAATTCTCTGCAGCGCAGCAGAACAGCACAAAAACGATGTGTTTTACCGGCGCTGTTGTGCAGTTATTGGTTCTGCAGCTCCCCAGCCGAAAAACCGCAGCAGGACGCAGCTGACGCGTGTTATTTGTATGCTGTCCGGGCACAGCAAGCCGTGACCCGTGTCAGGGCAGGAATTACCCGTTTTCTCTCCGTCCTTCAGCCTGACCGCCTGCCCTCCGCCCTCCCCTCCTCTCTCTCTCTCTCTCTCTCTCTCTCTCTCTCTCTCTCTCTCTCTCTCTCTCTCTCTCTCTCTCTCTCTCTCTCTCTCCCTCTCCCTCTCTCTCTCTCTCTCTCTCTCTCTCTCTCTCACTTTTTCTTCCTCTCTCACTTCTTTCTTTTGACTTTTCACTCTCGTTTTACCTCTATGCATCCTGCTAAAAAAGTAAGCATTCCATCCTCTCTCGATTCTCCAATGAACCTTGCCGACAATTAATGACATCTCGCTGGCGACCACCGTTAGCTGGCGTTTTTGTCACCCCGGCACACACCCCAGGCGCCAATATATTCTCGGCGCCACCAATCAGGAATCGGCGGCGGCACTGCTGCCCTGTTTGGTCGGCGCCCGGGGCCGCTGGCGACACCAGCAGCTGCTAATGACCCCGCTCAGAGGTCAAAAGTCACCGGGAATGCGATAATGACAGATACATCGCCCCCGTTCGCCGAAACGGGCTCCCCAGTCGGAACGAGACTTCGCGATGACTCCTAATGTGCACGAAAGTTGAGAGCCATTCTAAGAAAATAGTTAAAGCCTTTCCGGGATATTTGGATGTAAGCTCGTACGGTACTGCCGTGATATTACATAGCACATGAGTAAGGGCATCTGTATATAGCTTCACCACTTGGCATCTGAAAAGTTAGTGCATTTAAACATCATTAGGTATACTATGCTGCCATCTAAAGAAACTAGGGCATTGTATGTGACCATTTCCTAAGATGCTCGTGTGCTCACTGCTGCGAGAGACGATTGATAGCAGATGAATCCGGCAAAGTGCCTATTGCAGGTCTCTCCGCTGGCAACTGCCTGATTGGGTTTGGCCCTAGCCCGGCCCCTAGATATGGAACAATGGGAAAAACATGTTAAAAATAGGTACATCCGGGCACGCTCAAAGCATTGGGAAAGCTGACAACGTATGTAACAACTAACAATCAGTGTACGTTCCCCTGTGGTGAAGCAAGTCCCAAAGGGTGACCGAGAAATGTGCATTGTATTGTGATGCTAAACAGAAGACAGATTCGCCGGGGGAAATAACTTTGCATCGTTTTTATTGTCCCTGTCAATGTTCCTTTGTGGCCTAAATGTGTCCGTTGGCTCGTGCTTCAACCTTTTTAATAGTTGTGTTTGAACGTTAACTAACCTTTGGAAAAAAATGGAATGCACAGTTTAAACAAAATAAATGAATTATCCTAATCTAAATATTATATTATAGATAATTGAATAAAAAACGGACACATATCTAGTGGATCGCTTATAGTGTGGTATTATAGCAGATACACATTTTAATTGTACGTCCATTTGTTGTTTTATCGACGAACTGTAATTTCCAGACTCATTTCCAGTCCTTATTCTTGCATATAGCACTGCACTACGCCTTCCTTTTACGCTCCCCGCTGCTCGCTGTATGCGGGGGAGAACGGGTCAGTCTGTTCGCGGTCAAGGAATCGGTGAGAGCGGCGCTACTCACCTGTTAACTAATAAAGCGGGGCGGCGCTGCTTACCTGATGAAAGCGACACTGCCCGCCTGTGGACGGGTCGGCGCTGCTCACCTGTTAAGTAAGTTCTGCTCACCTGTGGACGGATCGGTGAGACCAGCTCTGCTCACCTGTGGACGGGTCGGTGAGACCAGCTCTGCTCACCTGTGGACGGGTCAGTGAGACCAGTTCTGCTCACCTGTAGCTGTGGACGGGTCGGTGCTGCCCACCTGTTGACGGGGGTCGGTGAAGTCGGCGCTGCTCAGTTGTGGGCCACTCACCTGTGGACGGGTCGGTGAGAGTGCCGCTGCTCACCTGTGGACGGGTCGGTGAGAGCGCCGCTGCTCACCTGTGGACGGGTCGGTGAGTCCCGTGATGCCGTCCACCATGTCCAGCGCCATGTCACAGATCCGCTCGGCGTGGTTGGTCCTCTTCTCTGGCGCGCCGTCCACCACCATGTAGGAGTCGCCGATCGTCTCCACCTGCGGAGCAATGGGCCCTGAGACCGCAGGTCGTCTCGTACTGAGGCCACAGGTCGTCTCGTACTGAGACCACAAGTCGTCTCGTACTGAGACCACAGGTCGTCTCATGGGGATACCACCAGTCGTCTCGTGCTGAGGCCACCAGTCGCCTTCACCTGCGGAGCTGGGGTGGCAAGGCCGCCAGCTGCCTCCACATCAGGCACAGCGAACCCTGCGAGACCGCTTATGTTAAGCAAAACGTGAACCGTTTTGTGGTGCTCACCTTGTAGACTTGGTTGAACTCTGTCAGCCTGTCAAAGATGGAGTACATGCTGTTCAGCATGGCGACCACCTGCATGGGCGATATCCTGCTGCAGATCTCGGTGAAGTTGACCACGTCGGAGAACAGAATGGTGACGCTCTCGAAAACCTGCCGCAACGGTTTTCGAGAATTCGTTAAATAAGAAAAATTAGCCTTGTACAGGGTTTTATCTATGCACACACAGCAGGCACCTTATCGTTTACAGAAGTCTGTTTTAGCATGTAGGCATAAGAACACCTTACAATACATCAACTTTTAACCCGTGCCCCACTGGGGGGGGGGCTATTAATGCCCCCTTCCCGTTTTTCTGCAATAGCTTCCAAACCGCTTGACGAATCGACGCCAAACTTGCAGTACCTTCGGCTGCATCAATTTGACACCTTGTGTCAAACTATGAGCTTCGCCGTAGCTACAATAGGTAGGCCGGAAATGACGTCAGAGTGACGTCATATTCTGCCGATTTCGACGCAAAACATTGAACCACGGCAATCGCTCCCAAGAGCTCAGGTTTTAAGCTAGATCCAAATTCTTTGCATGAGAGGACTCAGAATAGATTGTGCTATCAAATCGCTATCTCGGATTTTCAAAATTCTGAAAATTTCGAAAATTATATGCAATAAAGTTCAAAATTTATGTTTTATATTTTTTTTCTTTTTTTTACTTTTCGAAAAACCGGAATCTATGTGATAAAACACATGCTTATGACTTACTCTAGCATGTTTTAGCTAAATATCTTCAAAAATGGCCAAGTTATATACATTATTGAAAAAAAATCACAATTTTAAAATTTTTCAAATCAACTTTTCAGCACGTATTTGACATCGTAGACCAATATAAATAGCACCATCGTGTTCCTGAGCTCAAACTGAATCCAATATACATCTTTTTGTCGAAAAATTTTAACTTCAAATTTTGACCTTTTTTGACCTGAAAGTGACCTGACCTAAGCTAAATTCAACTTAAAATGACCTCGAATGACACAAACGACATCAAATTCGAAATCTGTGGCCTAAATGGACCATAAAACATGTGCCACGTGACCGACGCATGATATAATATTTCCGTGGCCTGTGATGACCTGACCCTGACCTGAAAATCAAAGTACAAGTATGGAACCCTCAGGGTATCTTAACCCTCGCCCGCACATGCCATTTTCCCATCCTAGAACGCACATGGGGGGGGGGGGTTGCCACCCCCCCGCGCCATTTCGTTCCTGTTGGAGATAGAGCTTAGCGGTAAAGACCAAAAAGATTCTTTGGGAAGAGACGAATCCAATGATGCCCAGTTTTACCTTCTCAGGTCAGTCATTGACCTTCCAGGTCAGGTCAAACTAAAAAATGTTGCTGTTTTGGGTCACCGTTGGATACCTATCAAGTGCGCTGCTTATCATATACCGATGACGATGCCGTTTTCTGGTGCCAAGCCAGCTAGAACCTCTTTGTCACACTATCCGACCAGATTTTTGCTGCTGAGGTCATTTCAGGTCAAGCTAGGTCAAGGTCAATTATAGGTATGTGTTTGTATGTCTGTGTGTGTCTGTGTGTAGGTATACTGATGTGTGCAACGATTGTTTATGTGTTTATACTACATGAAATCATGATTTGAGAAGCTTTTAGCAAAAATGCAGTCAAAAAACTTCACAAAAAGTAAATTCAGCTTGCTAAAACGCAATTATCTTAGATGACCTAGGTTGACCTTGACCCTGACCTTGACACCTGTACATCGTCGAACAACATGTTCCATGATAGGTGGGAGGTAAGACTGGCAAAAAAGGCCGAAATCAAGGTGTCAAAGCTCACAAGACCCATAGCCAACGCAAGATGTTGAGAATTGGTCATTTGGGTCATGACATGACCTGAAAAACAAGGTCATATCTCCGAAACCAAAAATCACAGAATTTTGAAATTTTCAGTGGACATCAAGAACGGATAGAGGAGCAGCTATACGAAAAATCAGCCTTCTAGCTCAAAAAATGTCGAGTGCAGAGCAGAAAGACTACCTGGGGGGTGGCAACCACCCCCCCCCCCTATGTGCGGGCGAGGGTTAAGCATCTGTTCACGAGTGTGTAAACCAAAAATGAGCCTGATCTGACTTGTAAGACGGCGGCCAGAGCCCAAAATGTGGACAAGCCAAAATACTAATAATTTTTATTTTGACCTGACCTGTGACGTCATCGGTGACCTCGAGATCAATGAAATTAAGTTTCGTTTGGCAGTTTTTCCGGGGCTATCAGACTTCCGGGGCTAATTCCGGGGCCGTTTGAATTTTGACGATCGGCCCAGTAGTTTCGGAGTAAGGAGGGTGGCTATGAAGAGCCCCCCCCCCCCAGTAGGGCGCGTTATACGCAGACCCCAGTGGGGCGCGGGTTAATGAGCAGTTTGAGGGCTTATGACTGTCCGTAGCAATATTCCGGATATTTGAGAATCATTTTTGAAGACTGTGATACAATACAATCTTATGAAATTTCAACATTCAGATGTTCTACCTTCCTCATTTCCCAGTCGTCTTCTCCTTGTCTTCTAAACAGATCACTCAACCTCTCCGGGATGATTATTCATGTGCCGCCTTGTCAAGCCGATGAAATAATTTCCATTATAGTGATGCTAATAAGGGAGTCGCAGAAGCAATCGTACATAAAATGTAAGCACAATTTGTAAAGCAGTAGTCAGCGGATACCGGGCAAGTTTAAAGTTATTGTTCGACTAATGCTCGCTGACGATTTTTTTTTTACCCTTCTACTAAGATGTCATTTTGCGTCATTACTAATGGATGCGTTAGGTACTTGCTTAAAAGCATATCGAAGAAAAAACGTAATCCATATCCGCAATGATGCAACAGCAACGCCACTGCGTTGGAAAGGAAATGGTTTCAGGGACCGATTGGTTCGATTGCCATATTGACAAGCCCTTGCATGAGAGTAGAGTTTTATTGGAGTGCGTCGATGGTTAGCATGGAATTGGTTTCGGAATGACGCAACGGTGAATGGCCACGCCCACGTCGGAAACTTTTCGATACTCTGAACTCGGTGCCACAAATGAATAGAGCCATTCGGGGTAGTCGGCGGATGCATCTGCACTTGTAACGCGTGACTGCCGTTTGGTCTTTGATTTACTCTGCCGGGTAGTTATTCCATGGTCTAATGCAGTCATGGTCACACCCATAGACCTCTATCTACACCACAGCGCACCAATATATGTAGGTACACACAACTCTCTTGATGCAATAGGTAAACGGTGCGATAAACAGTTGAAATAAAATGAACTGAAGGTGATGCATAATTTATTGCAAACATTAATGCAAATAAACAAATGAGTAAGCTGCGAATACAAGCTACAGAAGGGGTATTGCCTAAAAATTAGAGCTTCCCCAGCGAGCCACAGCGAGTTATGAGCGGTACTGTTAGTTTCCCGTCAGCATCCATCTATCAAATCCTTATAAGGGGCTTTTCACTGAATTCGGCTCTGCAGCACAAAGACCAAAGAGTTTTTATGTTACGAGGCCTGGAAAATTGTGGAGACAGCTTGATGCCTATTGGCCATCGTCGATGAACTTTCGAACATGACACTTATTTGTCGTGAATTGAAGGCACTTCAGTGTGGGTTTTGATGACGTTATAAAACGTCACAAAGGCAAGGTCTGTGGCCCTTTGTCAGGAAGTCTGATGAAACCAGCTGGACAGCGATCCCATGGGGTCACGACGTTGTTAGGTCTCTTTATGATAGGTGCATGCCAAGACAAATTGAACTCATTTGCTGCCAACACAGATTCCAGGTCTTTTCCGAGTGCTGATTGAGGAGTTCGCTTAAAATGGACACCGATACCATCAATAGGTGTTCGATTTAATGTCGCAGTCACGAGGAGTTACGAGTGCGTGCCTGTGTGAAATATGATAATCATAGCTCCCTTTTCAACTGTGTTTCACGTTTAACTGCATTCGATAAGATTAAGTTCATTCAACTGTGTCCATCATACCACAATTATGCACACGATTAGCCATGCTTAATGAAAACATCACACACAATAGCTGTCACACATCACTTAGACCTTAGCCATAACAGTGCGATAACACAGTCTATTGCGCCACTTGAGTGGTGACTGCTCTCTCCGGAATGGAGAATCTGTCTCTCACCTCACACGTGTCAACGGGGTTGGCGCCCTTCCTGAGCCGGTTGGCCACCTCCTTGGGGATCATCTGGTACAGCAGCTCGTCCGTCCTCCGCATCTCATCGTCCAGCTTCTTCATCGACTCCTCGAGCTTCTTCGACTTGAGCTGCTCCTGGTCCAGCGCCAGCTTGAGCTCGATCGACTGCTGCGTGCTCGCCAGCATCAGGTCCCTGGAGGGAGGGAGCGACACGCGCCATCAGCCCGCCACCAGGGGCCCGGGGCTTGTGCATTCGCAGTGCAACAGGCGGATCTATCAGTGGTGCAGACTGACCTGCACTACGCTTTAAACGGCCTAGAACGGTTCAAAGCGCCTGTCCCTGCATTATATAACTAAAAGTCTGACAGCAACGCAACAATGAGTCAAGCTAAGTTTTGCTTTGAAAGGGTTGATTTAATACCGTGTTCACTTGCAGCGATCTCATGCCACCATCGCACACTGACTGAATCCGTTGGTTCACACCACGCTGCTGACCTGCTGAAGTCGTGCATCGAGAGGTCGTTGATGAAGAGTCCGGTGTGGATCATGGCGTCCAGATCTGGCATCACCGGCGTACCCAGGAACAGGATCATCCGCCACTCGTCAAAGTACATCATCTGACCTGGCGGCACACGGCGAGCGCCGGGTAGAATGGCGGCTCCAGTCGGTACATTACTCGGAGCGGTAAGGTGAACAGTGGTTCACAGGACAGTTTGCTAGGAACCGTCATTTGCACTGATCTACCTTAACTACCCTCTCAATGTTTATTTTTGTCTCTTTTTGAGGATATGAAAGAATGTTTTTATTGCTGTTGTTGTGGAGCAATACACTTACAGCTTTGCACTTTGGTGTGCTTTTATTTCTCTGGAAACAAAAGGATGAACTTATGTGACAGACTTTAGAATTGGGTGAAAATTGACAACTGCTAACATGGACACATAATTTCAGAATAGTTCGAGTAAAATGCAATTAATTGCAGCAATGCGGATGGACCATGCAGACTGTCACATGTGTACCGTTTCACCTTTGAAGCTTATCAGATAAAAGAGCAGGTTTAATCGATTGTCGTTAACATTTTTATATTGCAATATTTATTTAAGCTTAAATTGCATCAAACTTTAAATAGGCTTATGGCGTTTTCACCCATGGAGCAAAAAAAGAAAGTTTTTGTCAAAACCCAGCCAATAAGACCTACACACCTAACCGAGGTCCCCTTCGGGCCACTATGCTAGTCTCCCTACATTAGGCTACCATTACAGAATTGCCTGTGTCTGCGTCGGTTAAAGACTCTCCCAGACCCAATTCCTCTCCCCACCACAGCCTCATTATTGGCAGCCGCGCAATGGTCGCACCTTTGAGTCGCAGATTTTTCTCCTTGATGATTAGGTCGTCGTCGAAGTCGTCGACCATGCCGTTGGTGTTGACCTTGCTGTCCAGCGCCCGCAGGCGAGACGGGGCGTCAATTGTTACCAGCTCGAAAATGTTGTTGGTCTTTTTCAGAATCTGCAGCGCGGCACCGTGTCAGTTTCGCATTGTAAGTGGTGTATTGTGTCGGAAAAAGGAACTCGGACGCTGACAGACGGGAGCTCTGTGTCTCCGCGCCAGAGCTGGAGGCGGAGAACAATGCAACAGACACCACAAAAATAAAAGCAATAAAGTAAAAGAATGCTGCTGGCGTTTCAAATGTTGTTGACAGAAAGCTTACAACACTCCTCCTTTCGACATATCAATGGAAGAATGTCCACGCCGTGAGCTCGTGAATCGGTTTGATGTCGGATGGCGCTTGTAAAATGCATGGTTTCCTCATGAAATACGGCTTTCAAAGACACCTCCAATCCATTTTAAATCGCAGGCTTTCTCGGAACCCAAAGTTACTCCATCTGCATCGACTGAGATAGGCGAGAAGCTTACCCCTGAGAATCTAAACTCCACCAGCGGCCGGACCAGGTCGAACCACTCATCGATTTTCCTTCCGATCAGCTCCGGCAGAATGGTCATCATCGACTGACCGAGGTTCTTTACAACCATATTTGATCTGTCGGAAAATAGTGCACGAGTCATTCCACAGCTCTGAATCGCTTTCGATGTGTTGTAAATTGTGATGTGATCTTCCGTAGTTCTCGATTTAGTTTTGTGTGAAGAATATTCCCACAAGATGTCACAAGGTATTGGTCACTAGGCCAAGTCTCGTTATCATCGAATATCCTCATCAAATTCCTTTTCATAAAGCATAATTCATGCCAGCGTTAGTATCATCACCGTTATGGCCGATTCTGGATCGCAGTTATAATTGATTATGTGATGCCTCACGCGGCGATGAGGGAAACTGGACCGAGCGACGGTCTGGCTAGTGGCCAGGGCGCGTCCTGGCGGCCACAGTGGGGCAATCTCCGTACCGGCGGCGCCGGATGGCCGCTGCCGATCGGCCGCCGGCTCGGCCGGGGTCGATGCGATTTGTCCGCTCGGTCACCGGTGGCCGGTGACGCCGGCGATCCTGGCAGTCGACACCAGTGCCGCCCGGTGGTCCGGTCACGGCCGCAGTGGCGCGAGGCCGACACTTCCCGCCCGGGAGCTGGCCCAGTTAGACCGCGGCGTGGGATTCCCAGCTGCCAGCTTTGTCTGAGGGGTGAGCTGAGATCTCTGAACGGAGCGGCCCCCTCCGCTGCTGTTGTGGCGCGGTATTTGGGAGAGCTCGCTGCTCACGTCCCGGCAGCGGCGGCTCAGCGAGCCGTTGATATTGACCGTGGTAATGTGTTTACCGTGTATTGAATGGTAACCGAATTAGCGCCCGGCGGCCGGAAACACACCGGTCGCGCAGCTCCGCGTCACTCGGCGATATTCGGGGAAGGAAGGTCAACTTTAAAAAGACAGCCAAAAAACTGCCCGAGGATTCCCCAAGCAGATCTAGTGTTTTTATTTGTAAAACAACTGCTTCAGCGGCCTTTGCTACATTAAAAGCTCTTCCAAATCAAATATCTTTCAAATAATAGTGTGTGCCTTCACTGAATTGACTCTGCTCTGTCCAATGAAAAGAAAACGTTTTATGTGTGGCCTACTGGCTGAAGTTCGTTAACAATCAGGATACTGAGTTGCCTTGTGGAAACTTAAACAGCAATCCGTGTCAAAGTTTCAACTGTTGCACTGCATCTTAGTCTGATTTTAATGCCATAAAGGCATATTTGACACCGTGCGTCTTAATAATCTTGCAAATCCGACGTAAAACTTCCAATAGGTCACAAGTTAATTGAAATCAAGTGCGTTAACAGTGTGCTGTGTCCCAGTCCAAACACCACTGAGGGCGGTGTCGACCTGGTCACGTAAAGAAGCTGCAGGAAGCGGCTGCCGGGTAGCTGCAGCTCGTGCTCACGTGAAGGCGATGGAGAATGGGAACAGCTCGAAGATGATGCCGGCGCGGATGGGCAGGCTCTGCTCGTCGCGCACCAGCCGGATGGCGTGGCTCTCGCGGAAGGCGTGGTTGTCGAACGTCAGCTGGAAGGTGACGTGGTACGAGTCGACCAGCGAGTCCTCGCGCACTAGCTCGATCTCCATCTCGGTGTCGTAGAAGTGCCGAGCCACCTGCGGTCGGCGGCGACAGGAGAGCGGGCAGTCGCGTCAGGGTGCTGGTACTCTGATAACTGGCAGATATTTATTTATATTCCGAATATTTTTGCCGCAATTTGTTAGCTCTGGAATTTTCAGTTATGCTCTTTTTTTGTCAGCATTAAAAACACATTGCGATGACAAAATGCGTTCATTTTTGATCGACGCAGGTCATGATGGTTCTCTGAAGTACAAGGCATTCAACAGATTCAGGTTTCCTATCGGGGCAAGAATTTGTGAACAAACTTGCTAATTCCATCGTATTATCTGGCGGATATCTTCACTTGCTACCTACCATGCTCAATAGCCATGGTGTAGCCTCGGATCTACCCCTTAGATTCGCTCCATGAACATAACTATAGGCTCGCCCACACCTGTTTGTACTATTCCACGGTGAAGCCGAAGTCTGTACCTGTTTGATTTGTCCCATGGCGTAGGACAGTTCTTACCTGTTTGATTTGTCCCATGGCGTAGGACAGTTCTTACCTGTTTGATTTGTCCCATGGTGTAGCCTCCATAGCCCCGTCGTTTGCTCCGGTAGTGTAACACCATGCCGGTTGGTGTTTCGTTCTCGCAGAAAAACGACGGCGGCCTCATGCGCGGATACGAGAACTTGAGGTACTCGTGCAGGTTGTCCAGACCTGTCGGAGAAACGTGAGAGCGCTCCGACCGGCTCGGGTGCCGGTGAGGCATTACACTCTATAATAGTCCATGGCTGATTTTTTTTTTTAGGAATCATTGGCCAGTTTCGGACCAAGACGAGTCAAACTATGAGCGAGTATCAATTGGCGAGCATCTAAATGACGGCGTGTTTCGTGGCTGAAGCACTCTCAAGAATTGCCGCTGGTTGGAATTTGTTGGCTACTTATCGCAGCTTGGCCAAGGCGCACTAACTAATTTCCCGAGGCTCAGTGGGTACGCGGCTGACTGGCTGGATTTCGCCGGCAGAGCCGAGCGGTTCTTTACCAGGAAGTTGGAGAGCGGAACGATTCATTATATCGGCCAATAAGTGGAAGTTTGTCGGAAACGATTCCGGAAAAATGTCACTGTCACGGAACGCTGCAGAGGATAAACCTATGTCGACATAATCCGATGTTAGCTATGCACCAGACAGCGAAGGATCAACACATCGAGACAAGTGAGCGATGATAAAACGATTGTAAACAACATCGCGAAACGCTCTCCTTCAGCTCATACTGCTTTTTGCCATTTTGAAGCAGATTTACCTACCGTCTGAGCTAGCATTGATAAGGCCTTAGGTACTAAGGTTCCATCAAATAATTTTTTCGCCTTGGCGGCGCGGAAGACTAACTAGTCCCAGTTGACGTGTCTTATTGAAAAATATCATTTCTTTCAAAATCATGTGTGGGTCGTTTGCATGAAAGACCAGTGCGACTTCGGTGGATTAACCGACAGACCAGTAGGGCTATCAGGTCATGAAGCGGCTGCCGAGCGAGCACCATGCTCACCTTGTGCACTATCAGCGCACCATGGTCGCATTAGTGAGCCAGATGACGTTGCTCTGTGACTCACCCTACACTCTACGCTCTGTGACTCACTGAAGATACTCAAACATGTGTTCAGATAGACCATACCTTGTAGTGTGGGGATTTTCACCATTAGGTACTGAATAAATCGGTATGGTTGAACACGCGATGTAGCACGAATGGCATGAAACGATCTAAGGACTGGCATGGAGAAAACGTATGTCCCCCTATTCATCACTGCCGGGACATTATCTATTATGTCAGGCTATGCATCAAAACACGAGTCGGGCTGAACCAAAGAGGGGCGAGGAAGGCCAGCCATCGGGCAGTATTCCAGACTGATAGAGGGTCAGAGTTCTGTTATCTTCCCTCGGGAAGTAATTATGTCAGAGTCAAACTACTACGGGGTGGGAGAAATGCCTCGCCCGTTGTTGTCCTGTCATCGTCGCACCGGAGTCTGTCTGTCCGGACGAGACCATGTCGTGTGTGGAGTGCTTCTGCTGCTGCTCGCCGAATCGCTCCTCAGTCCAGACATGACACGGCTTTGACTGGACAGACATGCTCCGGTGGGGCGCGGACGGGACAACAGCAGCCGAGAGGTGCAGCCAAGTCAGCACCGACCAAAGCAGTTTCGACAGTGCCCTGTGTCAGCTCTGTACTAGGGCGGCCAATCTCTATCGGTAGAAGAGCCGCTCATGTTCTGTTTTTGCATGCTTCTGCTATTAATCCTTTAATCATAAATAATAGCTCCAATGGAAGCTCTCCTATGTTTATAGAAACTTTTTATTATATATATATATATATATATATATATATATATATATATATATATATATATATATATATATATATATATATATATATATATATATATATATATATATTGAAACTTTTATAAATAACAGCGCCGAGCATGATAGGGATTATGTAAATCCCAAAATGTTTTCCGGGAAACTCTCCCTAACGAGAATCACATGGCTATTTGGTAACCGGAACTCCATTAACCTCTAATTATGATATGTAAAATGCATTATCTGGTCTTAACCCGCGCGGGGCTGGGGGTAAATTTTACCCCCCTTGCGAATTTTTGCAATATCTCAAAAACGGCGGCTCAGTACCTTTTCTTACATCAATTTGACACGTTTCCTGAAAATTTGAGCGAAATCCGTCGGGAAATTTTTGAGAAATTGACGTTTTAGTGACGTCATGTTCGCCATTTTCGCCTCAAAAACGGCAAAATTTCAAACGCCGCTAACATCTTAATTTTTAAAGGAATCAAGACGTAACAAAAAGGTTATACGTGATTCTACTTTGTCTATCAAATGGCTATCTCGGTTTTTTGAAATTTTTGATTTTGGCCTAATTTTTTTCAAAAAACTGACTTTTTTGGGAAAATGATTATAAAATCCAAAATTTTGAGTCTCTCGAAAAAACGGAATATATGTCAGAGAAGTGGTCTATGTGCACCTACATACCAAATTTTAGAAGAATCGGTTCAAAAATGTGGGAGTTATTCAAAATTTTATGACGTCACGACACACAAATTTTTTGAAAAAAAAAACTTTTTTGGAAGTTCTAGACCTCGTTCGGAAACAAAAATAGCACCATTCGATTCGCCGTGAAAAACTGCATCAGATAGACACCTTTTTAGGCCTTAACAACCAACTTCAAAATTTGACCTCACTTGACCTGACCTTGACCTGAACTCGACCTGAAATTCATCCAGAGGTGGTCCATATCACTTATTGAGTGTGCCTATTGAATTCTATGAGTAAAATGACCCATAAAACATGTGTCGCACATGCCCTTTTCTATATTTTGTTTTTTGGTGACCTGACCTGACCTGACCTGACCTTGACCTTGACCTCTGAATGATATTGTATGCAACGACTATTGTCTTGGTAGCCTAAGAACACGTTTTGGGCAATCAGTCTCAGTCCATGACTCCATTCTTCGGCAACTACGGTGCAAGGCCGATACTGTAGAAACTTGCAATTTGTACCCTTGACCTGACCTTGACCTTGACCTCAAACTTTAAATTAAGTACATGTTTTAGTTGTTCGTGATGAGAGCTTTCGATTGGTGTTTGAATTTTCCAAATCAGACCATTAGTTCGGGAGATAACAGGGGGGGGGGGTAAAATTTACCCCCCCCCCCCAGCCCCGCGCGTTCGGCTGGAGACCCCAGCCCCGCGCGGGTTAAAAGTCATCACATTCTTCCCCTGATATAATTCTGAGGCTTAAATTTGTTTGGTCCTAGTGATCTATATGTTACGGGCCAAGTGCGAAGGCTAGTCCGTTTGCGAACGGACTAGTCCATTCGCGAATGGACTAGGCCGTTTGCGAATGGCGGTCCGTTTGCAAACGGACTAGTCCGTTTGCGAATGGCCGGCCATTCGCGAATGGCCTAGGCCGTTTGCGAACGGACGGGTTTGTGGCGTTGCACTTAGCCGCCGGAAGCATGGATCCTCGGATTGGGGTACGATTCCGAATGAATGGGGGACCGCTGGTCGATGCAGGGGCGTCGCCGACGGGGGGGGGGGGTCGGAGGGGTCCAGACCCCCCCACACACACATTCTTGAAAATATGCCGGTCCGACGCCCCCCCCCCTCCCCCCACACACACTTTTGGCCACGAAAATCGATCAAGAATAAAATAAAATATTTTAAAAACGATTTTGGTGCATTCTCAAAATAAAATTGTCTAAATCCGAGGAGTTTTCAGTATTTGGTGGGGATTACTTTGACTGACCGTCCGACCAGATCCCCTAGTCGAAAATCCGTGGCGACGCCACTGCGTTTATATGTTTAGTTTGTTCTCCGGAGCAGATCTGCGAGCTGGCGCAACTCTGGGTTAAGGTCTCCACACACCTGGTCCATTCGGGATGCGACTTTCCGCTGAACCCTGCACAACGCGGAAATTATAGCAACGTGTTGCCGCTGGCCAGGCTTCGGCCACCGATCTGGATCTGGGGAAGTCAAATATCCCCGTGACCTTCGAACAGCGGAGAGTCGCGTGGTGTGCGGAGACCATTAGTACCGTGCTCCGGGCTCCCCGCTGATGACCCGACCTGACCTTGGTCGAGTTTGTGGCGCTCGATTCGACACGCAAGGGTGGGGTGAGGTAAAGAAGAGGCGACCTCAGCATGACTGTGTAAGCATTTTACGGTTGAGTTACCAATACTTTGCACGCATCATTTCACACGGGACTTTGCACATGCCAAGTTGACTTGCCAAGTTGACGTCACTTTGCTGGATATTTCGCACTTGGCCTGACTTCGCACTTGGACTGGGAGCATAAACGCCCGTCCATTCGCAAACGGCCTAGGCCAACTGCAATAACGCACATGGACTAGTCCATTTGCAAACGGCCTAGTCCAAGTGCGTTATCGCACTTGGACTAGGCCATTCGCGAATGGACTAGCCTTCGCACTTGGCCCGCAACATATACATGCCGACTTACAAGACAGGCAGCACCGGGAAAGAGACTACACATCCACTAACATAGAGACTTCGTTTTTTTCTCAAACAAATGTCAACGTTTCCTAAGCATGATTGTGGTGGCGATTTATGTGACTAAGTGAGTACGTGACAAAACTATTTCTGACAAAAATAAATGACGTTTATGTTACTTGGGCGATCGGGCCTTCCCTGGCATAGGCGGGAAAATTTCGAGTCGAGCGCTTAGCGTGTCCACAGATGCCAAGCGCGACCCATCTCAATGGCAGACTTCATGTGGCCTGCAAACGACCACTTCCATCGACCAGTGGCCATTCCCGTCAGGAGCAAATAGCGAGTGGCTCAAACCGAGCTGTCGCCAGCATTCCGCCGCGAAATCGGATCATCTCTCCATCCGGCTATAGGGTGGATTTGGTCCAGCGCTTGTGTCTGCAGTGCTGGCGGTACTATTGGACATCCAATGAATTGCCGATCACCATTTGTTCTGCCGAGCACCTGTCACTGGCAGCCCGGTCACCATTGATCGACGGACCATTAATGAGACGGCGTGCAGAGATGAAGCCATTGGGCGCCCGCCGCCGGCTCCAACGGGCTGCGTTTGTGCGTGACCCGACCGCCGGCACGTGGCACTATGGTTGGAAACGGCCTCACGGATGGCCGTGGGCAATTTCGGAATATATGTATATTTGGGGTGTCATTCTGTTGGAAATTGATGAAATGTTTTGAATTGGGCAGAAAAAATTATTTAGTTGCGCATTTAGTCTCCATTATTGTACGTGGAATCGGGAGTTTCTGACAGTGACTTTTTTGGTGCGCCGTCAAAGGTTTAAACAACCGCGCTGGTGATAGCATGTGGAGTACCTCCATGACGTTGTAAAACTGGATTATTATATATCAAAATAATCCTTGTTATGTTGGCTATCGAGTGGAGTGACTCTTTTTCCCATGCGTGTTCAAAATCAGGAACGGCATTGCATTCTGTTTGCAGTGTCACCACAGCAATATTTGCAAAATTGCGTTTATGTTTCATTGGACATACAAAAAGTTCTCCATCGACCTCCATTGAGCTTTTTGGCAGAATAAATCGCTGTTCAATTCTGCGTAAGGGGAACGTAAAAGCAGACTGCGCACTTGTGCGCAAAATCGTCCGTGAAGCGTCATCTCCCGAGGCGTACCTACCCGTCGCTTCGTTAGCACCAGGTCGGCTCGTCAGTCTTGCAATCGCTTATCCTTATAAATGATGGTAAGAAGCAGGGTTGCGGAGTCGTGGTGGCGCCAAATCCGACTCCGACTACGACTCCGACTCCTGACTCGTTGCCATGACTCCGGCCGACTCTGTCTCCGACTCCGGACCCCTGCCAGTGTTTCGGAGTCGCGATGGAGCTGTTCCGATTCGGACCGACTCCGACTTCCACTGCGGGCTCCTGACCGACTCCGACTCCGACTCCTGGCTCGTTGCCACGACTCTGGGCGACTCTGACTCCGACTCCGACTCCGACTCCGACTCTGACTTCGACTCCGCACCCCTCGTAAGAAGTAACTGCTCGCCCCTGCACCTGGAGTATGAATATCGTGCAAACGTGTATGGATATCCTGGAGTATGGATATGGATATCCACTGACAGAACAGACATACAGACATGCTGTAAACTCCATTACACTGCCAATACCATGGCAAATCAAATGGCTATCTATGGTTTTTGATCATCGTTCTACAGTTTCCAAAATCTTGAACTGAATGTTGGCAATTTCTCGTGACTACTTCACGACCATGACGCATGCATTTCTGAAATTGATCTTTTTTCAACCAGCCACGTACTCGTATGATAAAATGAATGTCACCATCGTGTTCTACGCCCAAAAGTACCCATAAAACATGTGTCATGCATGGGCTGCGGATAGGTACCAGTTTTAATTTTCGGGGTTATGTGCTTACCTGATTGACCTGACTTTGACCCTGGCCAGTGGCCTATGCTTGACTGACCCCTACATTGATCTGACACTCTTTTAGCACTTATATGAAGGGTTGTGACAGTTGTGACAGTTGTGACAGATTGTTTAGGACCAACTGATGACTGAATTTATTTAGGACCAACTGATGACGATATAATCGAAACGCGAAACGCGAGGCACCGATTGCGAGGTTCTAAAGTCCATGCTACTGAAAGCCCGATTTCAAGTGTTTGACCTGACCTTGACCCGACCTGTGACCTCGAAATTCAGCTTTAAAGTATTCATGTGAATCGTCTCGTCGCGTTCTTCTTTCGTTTGCCGCGCCTCGTGCGTTTCGCTGCGCCTATTTGTTCGCGAGTTATCGGCTGGGGGCGTTGAACGCCCCCCCCCGGCAAACGGCGGATGGGGAAATACCCCAGCAACTGCCGGGTTAATCTGACGCATGTTTTGTCATTTGATCGTCATTTTATTTCTTACTTTTTTGCCTAATCTAAAAAAAAATCATAAATACTCTTTCTCCAAATTTGTGACCCTTTATGACCAATAGTAAGACACTGTGCGTCACTACGTTGATATTTCTCGCCCTAAAGCATAACAACAATATCCATTCAGTAATAGCAGTATTCAAAACATGTTCAAAATGCCTCACGATATCGATAACATAACGAAAGACATAGGCGACTTATGACATACTTGCAATGATGACGTCACACACGCGTGACGTGACGTGACCTCGTCATTTCTGAGTTACTGTATGATGCACGAAAGACACTGGTATACCTATGCAAAGTTTCATCGCAGTCGGTCTACGCATTAACAAGTTATGGGCAAAACATTTTTTCGCGTTGACCCCCGGCCATCCGTGAGGCCGTTTCCAACCATAGTGCGTGGGGCCGCTCAGCCCCTCCCCGTGCTGAATTGTGGCCGCAGGGCCTTTATTGAACCAGGCTGCGGAGGAACGGCCAGCTGGTGACAGCATACTGGCCTGTCACCGAGTGGAGGGGTAGGGTGTCCTCAAGGAATGAGAGCCGATATTAGTCTGTGAAATCCTTTCTTCACACATATAACGGGGCAGTTTGCTAGTCCCGCCGTATTGTGATAGAAATAATAGAAATGAAATTATCAGAAAGGCTAGTGCCAAAGTTCCGCAGTGGGCAGTCGGTTGTAACTAGTAAATGTTAATGATTTTAAAAGACGCATTCAAACATCCGGGTTTGGTAGGTAACATTATGACATTCTTTTAAAGCTCCTTCCAAGTGCAAAAAAAAAAAAAATTTGTAGAAGCAATGGAAGTAGTTATCCATGCATGAATATGTTAATGTGTATGATCATGATCATACAAAAGTAGATCGTTTATTATTCACACTAAAAATATGGTCCACAACTCTGCTGAGAAGTTGCAGAGATCCGGACCTGGGTTCAGTGAAAAATTCCACTCCACAGCTCTAAGGTCACGTTATGTAACCACACCCCCGCCACCCTAGTCGGTCTGTTCGATAGCGGCGCCGACGGCTGGTTCTGCTCACCGTTCAGAAAGTCGCGCACGTGCCGCCCCAGCACGGAGAGCACCCGGTCGTAGCCGTACTGGCCGACGAAGCCCACAAAGTAGACGCCCATGTTCTCAAAGAACTCCTGCTCCTTCAGGTTCAGAATCTGAAACGGCGCCCGAGCGTCAGTCAATGAATGCAAACTTTGTGCTTTTGTGGCATCTGTTTTGGGCTGGCTGCATGCCACAAATTAAATTCCTAATGCCTGTACATACATTCTCGGTCACCTAAAACATGTTCACAGTTATGCTCTATAAAGAAGAAACAGCATGTTAGCAATGCTTTTACTTCGCTAATAAGATAAAATAATGAACCAAGAAGGAAGCGAAATGCTGTCCAACTGCCATGCCAATTTGTCACTCGAACACGCACGAACGAGCGAATATGAATGGTGGGGCATGGATGGTTCAAACAGGGGTGCGCTATGTTTTCGTTGGAATTCGATTACAATTGGGTTCCTATTTGTTTTACACATTTGAGCAGAGATGTGCGTTGTGCTATGTTTACGTGTGGGCAGTTATGTCCTGGGTTAACGTCTGACAGGGATGTGACGCTTATGTATGTCAGGAATGCGTGCTGTGTTCATGTACGAGCTGTGTACGAACAGCTGTAGGGTATTTTATATTCATATCGACTGCGCTAGGAAAAATATGTCGTAAGATGTATCGCCTCAGGCCAGTTTTCTCGATCTAGGTCACTATTTGCGGTATTCCATTTTTGATTAGTTTAAAATTTGAATGCATGCATATTTCAACAATACGTCACTGCGTGGGAGTGGATGATGGACATTGTGCGTCTAAAATGGTTCGAATGCCGCGGGCAACTCGGGAATTCATCTTGCCACGAGCTAACAACGTGGTGAATTGATCACCTGTCCGAGTTAAGCTCTTTATCGGCCCGAAACTGTGGATAAGGTTCAAATATGAATTTGACTGCTCTGACAATGTTTGCTGTAGGTCAACGAACGATGTCAACTTAACTAGGAAGTGTACAGAACTGAATTCCTTCCTTCAAGTATTCAAAGGAATTTGTATTCACTATTCAGGACCTTGAAATTCTTCAATAAAAAATGAGCACATTTGTGTTGTTGATTTCCGCTATATAAGACAAGCGTATTGAGTTCAAACTGATTTTCAAAACGTCAGCATTGTCTCTCACTTCTCAGTTTATCCAGTTTAGCGGGTTGGCTCCAGAGAGCTAATCTGCTTTAAGCTCACAGACCTGCATGAAATCATCGTTTGTTACGACGCTGGGATGATCACTGAAGCTTCGATTCAAATATATCAAAGAATAAGATGCATGGTAAGTACTAAGTACATGGAAGATAGTTTATAAGCTCTCTCTCTTCTCTCTCTCTCTCTCTCTCTCTCTCTCTCTCTCTCTCTCTCTCTCTCTCTCTCTCTCTCTCTCTCTCTCTCTCTCCCTCTCTCAGCTTTGCTCAATAGAACGCCATCTTTTTCCGAATATATGCATTAACTACGGCACAGTGTCGACTAGGGAAATTATGTCGTGGAAACTTGCTAACGATGTCTTTGTTCCATTCTTTCTTCGCCACTTCATTTGAAACAGTCATTTCAACATCTTTTTGTGGTCGTAATGTTAACAAACGATCTACACCAATCACCAAAGTAGAGATTGCGAAAATAATCAAACGATTTCATAGCAGTTTGCAGGGTCTCTGGAAACCGGCTTTAAAAGAACAATTAATAATGTTCACATTTTTCAGCTGATGTTCATCTTTCAATGACTTTTTGACCATCACATGTTTCACGATAGATTGAAGAGCGTAGGTCAATCATTTTTCAACTGTTTTGGTTCGTTCAATGCAGATCGTCTTTTACATGGGAGTTAGGGGGAATATTGGCTGCCCTAACTTGAGCTCTACTGGGAATTCTTTCAACGCTCTTTGATGCTGGGTATTTTTCACACTGATTTGTGAGTCCAGATTAGCAGTGTTGGAAATCGGTTCTGTGCGTCTCTGACACGTGTGCCGGTATCTGTTTGATGAAGGGCTGCGCTGAACCGCCCGCTGGTCCAGAGAGACGGATCGATCGGACCGTGTTCCGGTGACGGATCGGTGCTCTGTACACGGCACCGGGCCCATATGAGCCGCGGCCGACACCCGCCCCGAGAACTGCACTCCGAAAACGGCTCACAAGACTGAGGCAGCTGGGGCCAGAGCCGGATCTTACATCACGATAGTCTGACCGAGTCTTGTCCGACAGTTTGCGCTAATTTGACTGATATTTGATCGGCGGTAGCTCCGGCCAGTCACAGAGTGACGGATGCACCGTCACTCATTCCGTATGCTCCCGGAAAGTATTTTCTATGTATTACTCGAGAAACTTGCTTTCCAAGAAACACAGTCTGATACCAAAGTACCGCAAACTTGCGGTGAACATCTGTTTTAGTATGAGAAATAATTGCCGAGTTTGAGGCATCCCAGCACACTTTTTGTCCCTCATCCAACCAGAAGTCTCTTGCATTCATGTTCCAAGTTCCACGACCCGAACACAGACAGAACATCAGCCATGTGAAGGATGAAATTAGCGCAAAGCACTCTGCATCCAATGCTGTGATTCTCATCCTAAATCATAATATGTGTTGTTGACCTAGAACCTTAGAGCAAGTCATATCAACAGATGTGTCCGGTTTTGCGTCTACTTTATCACTAATCACTAAGCGCTCAGCGTCCCCTCGAGAGCTGAGCCGTCGCGTTGGCCGGGCGGGCTCACTGTCATCCATCGTCCAGGATTCTAATACCACAGGGGCGCTCTGATTTACGGCGTCTGTCGCGGTGTAAAAGTTCACAGGTCCGGCGCGGCGCGGCTCCCCGCTCACTCACCTTGCAGGCGGCCCTGGCCAGCCGCGGGATCAGCGACTCCGGGTACACCTGGTGCGTCGAGAACGACGGCACGTCCACCAGCGCCTCGCGCCGCACCGTCTCCCACATGTCCTCGCCGTAGCCGACCTTGATGTACTCGGCCAGGTTCTCCAGCAGCAGGCCGTACATGGCGCCGCCGCCAGTGGTGCGACTGGTGCTGGGGCTGGTGTCGGACCTGGTGCTGGATCTGGTGCTGAGTCTGGTCCTGGGCCTGGTGATAGGCTCGTTGCTGATTCCCGCTCGTGCTCAGCGCTGCCTCTTGTCCTGCTGACCTTGAGTCGGGATTAAAACTGACGTCCTCAGACAAACTGAGTGATGCTATACGACCACCCCCGGAGTCTAGGGAGAACGGTCTAAAATTGGAACAACTTTAACTCAGTTCTCCTGGGAAGCACTGTCGCACAGATTGTCACACAGTCCTATTAGCGAAATGCAGCGCGGCATTTCTGGTCTAAACCTACATCACGGTCCATGGGCCCCTCGGCAGTCCTCGACTGAGGTCAGTGTCCCGCACCACGTGTACCCTCTGGTTGTCTGGCTCCACTCGCACTGTGAACCCACTGTGGCCCCGAACAGACTGTGAACTCGTTGTCTAAAACTCCGGACGCACTTCTGTTGCGATGTCCGCCGGACAGGCCCGCAGACTCCAAGAAAATATCACCGACCAGCAGTTAATGGTCTGTGCGCGAGGCTTGAAACCATGCGTGAAACAAAGGCTTCATGAGATCAGCTTGAAGATCACCGGCGCAGCAGCACGTATCTGCAAGCAAGGTCAAACATTTGTCAGACGAGAGCCGATGAAGTGGAAAATGAATAAGAATGAGACGCACGAGACATCAAATGGGGGGAGGGGGTGACTGGGATTCGCCTGTAGCTTCTGGTCATTGCAGAAGTAGTCCTCAATTTTTCGCTGTAACACTGAAGTTGAGTATTACCGCGAAAAATATAGTTCCGGTATTTCACCGCGTGCCCCGAAATATAGCCGTTATTCGGATGTGTTCTCCTACGAACACGAGAGAATGGTGTTAGTGTGCTGTGACGCAATCTGGACTTGCACGTTTGAGTGTCGGCTCTGAATATTCCGTGGTGCATCGCCAAACGAAAATGGCAATGTCTTTCGAGAATCATGTTACAATCATGGTGCAGTGTAGTTAACATTCAAAGCATCACGAATGACAGAAAAAAAAAACTTTTTAAAGGTAGTGTGCCAGCTTTCTTGGACCGTATGGAGTTAATGGCCCAGATAAGGAGAACCGGATTTTTAGAACTTATCCATACCTTCAAAACTCATGGAAACGTCTTAAATTCTTCAAATTTTGAGTACCCCAGTGCGAAATTCGCCCCGACGGGTTGTCGGTCGTACCCCAACCACATTTCACACCACTATGAACAATAAATGCACACACAGAAATCGCTATTATCGATATGCTCATCCAATCAAGTTTCGATAAACCCGTTCATCATCATCTCCTGCGGTTTCGAACACGCCTGTTAGGTGGCTTCTGATGCTCGTCGAGGTCGGAATTTCCAAATACGCGTGGTGCGTCGGGCCGCGCGCTCTGACTTCGGCCAAGAAAAATGCGTCACCTGATCATTGTCATTTCTGCCACTTGCGTGTGGTGAAATGGGGTCATAACTTATAAGACGGCTTTTTCATATCAATTATTTTACATAAAATCATATTTCAAACCATAAATAATGTTCGACAGCCAAATAAAAGAAACAATACCAATACGGGCTTACAGTTTAAGGCTCGACATTGTGTTGTCTACGATTAGACAGCTGATAACTCATTCCCGTACGTCGTATGGTCGTAACACTATAATGACCTTTGCTTATTGTCACAAGTGCGCCGCATTCGCGATTGTTGCCCGACGCCTGTTTGCAGGTGAGCCCACTACAGTTGTTATACATATCTAAAAACCGAAAAACTTTTAGGCGAAAAAGGCACTATTCCAGGCCCATTTTTGATTTTTTTTTTGCGATATTAGGTAAAAACAGAAGCTTCTTATCCTAGGAAAAATAAAATGGGAAATCTTTCAAAGGTGGCACACTACCTTTAAACACATGCACCATGAGAAAATTTGATTGAATCTCGTTGTTCATATCTTCTGTGGCCATTATTATTGGACATAGCATTGGTCATTATTGGTCATTGTTTGTTCTGCAGCTCGTGATATTTGCCGTTTGCGTGCTAACCATGACCAGAACCGTTGTGAAATATAAATGTCATAAATCACCAAACTAGTCGAGTGATTTGACAATTGTACCAGCATTGCTCTAAACTCATCCGCCTGTTGCTGTCCCGATAGATGCCCATCCAGTCGCCAGTGCGAATTGCATCCACTCTGACTCACTTTGGTCAGTCCTCCTCCGCTCTACTACTTGCCCCCGTCCTCTCTCCTGTCACACTTTCTGTCCTCTCTTCACTCCCGCTCTCTGTTCTCCCTCCAGTCGTGCTCTCTGTCCTCTCTCCGACCACGCTATCTGTTCTCTCCAGCCCACTCCACCCGCCGTGCCGGTGGCCCTGTCCGCACGCACTGTGACCGCTCTGGCCTGCCGCCGTCCACACAGCCCCGCGGTCCTTTGCAGCCCACACAGCCCTGCAGCCCCGTGGCCCGCCGCAGCCCGCACAGCCCTGCAGCCACGTGTCCCGCCGCAGCCCGCACTGGCTGACCGTGGCCCGCCGCAGCCCTGCAGCCCCGTGGCCCGCCGCAGCCCGCACTGACTGACCGTGGCCCGCCGCAGCCCGCACTGACTGACCGTGGCCCGCCGCGGCCCGCACAGCCCTGCAGCCCCGTGGCCCGGCGCAGCCCGCACTGACTGACCGTGGCCCGCCGCAGCCCGCACAGCCCCGCGGTCCTTTGCAGCCCACACAGCCCTGCAGCCCCGTGGCCCTCCGCAGCCCGCACTGACTGACCGAGGCCCGCCGTCGGTACCGATGGGGAACCGGCCGACGCGCGCCGACCCACCGACGACCGCCGAGACGCGCTCTCCCCGGAACAGTCACAACACGGCTCGGCGAGCACTTAGAGCCGGCTCACCGCATAGAAATTCGGCTGACAGTGCCCTCTGCGGGAGACTGGGTTATAATTTATCGTCCGAATATGCGTTGCTGTTGATTGTAACTTGTGACTTTTATACTATGTTTTCACCTTTCTTTTCACGACTTGTTAAGATTTGTTTGCCAAGTGTTTTTTTCTGATAATCATGAAATAATGTTTCTTTCTACTTTGAGTAATTGATTCTACTGGGTAATGGTATGGCATTTTGAAGCTCTTTTTATTTCATCTTTTAAATTAGATACCTGTTTATTGATGCGCCTTGCGTAATAATACAACTGACAACATTCACTGATTTCAGTTCAAAGATGCGTAGTGAAGAGCTATTTTCCCTGAAAACATTACTCACTAAATAAAGGGCAGCCTACCAGAATATCCGGCGCTCTGTATACCATAATTCCCCGCAAACATCCGTATCTATGCGATTGGGGTGCATGACAACAGCCGCTATTATTCTATGCGATGAACGGGACCCCTGAATGTGTCATGGACTGCCATACAGCTCCTTTGGCCGCCCTGTGTACGGCACGGAGACCTGACAGGTGCGGCCTGGCTGTAGGACAGAACCGAACCGCGCACACTTTCATGACATGTAAATAGAGCAACATGATATGCCTGGCTGGCCTATAAGCGGAACTTGTGGTGCAAGTATTATAAATGACAGGATGCACGAGATATTGCTCTCACATGGAACAAGTTTAAGAGAAAGAGATAAAGAGAGAGAGAAAGACATCGTTCCCACCGTGTGTCGTTACTAACTTTTTATTTGATTCATTAATGGAAGGCGTTTCGACAGGAGAATAGCGCATTACAGAGCACGTATGTTTGCTTATTTTACGTACACAATCGATCGCTGCTCAGAGTATACCTCTACAATAAACGTTGGCTCAGCCAAGGCTCAGCTCGCTTGCTGCCTGTGATTTACCTATACGAAACATTGACAAAGGAAATGAGCCATGTTAAAGCCCTGCATCAACAATGCATTTAAATCATAACAGAATGACAGTAACCAACAGGGAGGATTTGTGAGAAAAGTAAAAGCATAGTGAAAAATTACCTCTTAAAACGTCTGTTTACTTTAGATAAATTGATGTGTTTACAAATGAAAATAATAAGGGCTGACTAAGATAGGGCAAAACAAAACATTTTGCCGTTTTAGTACCTAATTGTCTTTGCCACGCATGCGTTGTACCATCCTAAATAACATTTAAAGTCTTGAAATCATGGCAAGAAAAAGCGTTGTTCCCTTGACAGCTCGGTAAATATCCCTTTGTTATTACACACATTAACACATTGAAAAAGAATGAAACAATGCCAGCGGTTTTTTAACTGACATTTGGACTTCGTTTTCAATGGGGTTTGCCTATTGGCGATGTTGCAAAAAAAAAAAGAATAAACAAATCGTTTGTTGACGTTATTACAGATATATACAATTAATGTATTAGCATATCCCCGTATCATTTGACCCTTTTCTCCGATAGGTATCAGAGCGTACATCCATAACGTGCCGGCGATTACTAGTCGTGTGTTGGTGCATGCCTGCAGAGCCAGTGCTGGCCAATGAGCGTACCTATTGACCCCGCCGGGCTAGTCTTCCTCCAGTCGGGATATTTCCTGGAGATTTGATATGAAATAGATCTCTCTGCCAGATAATAGAGCTATTTGTCATGAACGCCCGGAGTCGAGGTCGGCAACAATTACTCAAATTATCTGTGACGGGAAGTTGTGATAAACAATAGATGAAAATGCATCACGAGTGTCCACATTGTTTTTCGTGATGTGCTGTTCCGGTGTTTCATAGAGTTCAATTCAAAGACGAGTCCTATGGCTAAATTTATCACTGACTAAAGATTACGGAATTAGGGGTGACTCCGACTCCGACTCCAACTACGGCTTCAAGTAGATCCCGACTCCACACGGTTCTATCAATTAAGATCGATGTCATGATATTGAAGTTCATAATGGAGATGTTTTATCTTGCCTGAAACGATCCCTTGTGCGTTCCAAGGCTTTGCGTTGCAAATTTGCATTAAAATAACATGTATAATTAAAAAGCAGGTTGTGGGAAATTCACCGACTTCTGCTTCTTTTGCTG